AGACAGACAGACAGACAGAGAGACAGACAGACAGAGACAGACAGACAGACAGAGAGAGACAGACAGACATGTGATCATTGTTTTGGGTAGTTTGTGCTGAAACAGGGCTGCAGCAGCTCCCCGTGCTCTGCCACGTACGGCTGTGAGAAATATGATCTGCAGAGGTGCCCGTGCAGCGGGAGTATACCCGCCTCCTTCAGTAACTTCCCGGGGCATGGCAGAGGTTCACTGTGGTGGTTACACTTTTTTTATTATACAAATGTAGTTTTATTAGAGAGAAGAAGGCATCCAGCTGTAAACAGACAGACCAAAAAGAAGAACTTATTCAGGGTTTATTACTGAAGGAAAAGTAGCTATACTGCAATAAAAACAGTCTAAATGTGCTCTTTATACAGCAGAAGATCTAATATATATATATATACATATATATATATATCATTATATTATACATTAGATTATTATTACTTATGGGTTACTATCCAAGCAGCTTTTTCATAATATAGCTAGTGGAGGTGATAACTACTTTATATACTGTTAAGTACTTTAAGCATCATATTTTAGTTTAGTTTGTAGTTTCTTAGGTAAAATCTTAATCTGTGAAATAAAATAGTAACTAAAAAGAATCACATGTCCCTCTGAATTGTAGTGGAGTGGATGTATAATGTAGCATTAAATAGAAATACTAGTACAGTAAATGTAAATGCAGACATAGACTGAAAGGCTTTGGCCCTTTTCTTTTTCCTACTCTGGTAAGTTAGACTAATAATATTAATACCAACGTCAGCACTTTGTTATCAACATGTTGTGATAATTGGTTCTGGCTGAAATCAACTTGGGGAAAAGCCTGAAACACCAACGTAAGCTTGTGCTCCTTATTGCCAGAGATCAGCCTCCAGTGAAGTTAACCTATTACATCATACTGTCTCACTGACAAAAGTGGTCATTATATTCAGGCCGTGCTGTAAGCTACACCTCCAGTCACTCTTTCAGCACTTTTCCTTTCACGTGAACTTTGCTAAGATGTCCTCTGATGAATTTGATCAGTCTCCCTGCCTGTGATTGTATTTGTTCACCGTGACTGTAAGCTTCCCATCGCTGCCTAATTGTTTTAAAACACTTAAGTACCATCAGTTTAATTTAAACGCACTGCCTCCTCCTCAGCGTCATGCATTCATTTGGCTTAAAGGGATTAGTGTGGCATCCATCTTCTAATTACACAGTTTTCAGCCTCCAACTTGAAGATTAAATTGGGAGAGAGCGGCCTCGGTGGCATGAAGAATACTTCAGAGCAAATAAACACATAAAACAAACAAATAAAGCGCAAGAGGAAGTTTGACATACATGCAATTAAATCTGTTGTGTTTAGTACGTTCAAGTGTCTACATGTGCCGTTTCATATTTATTTATTTATTTATTCCTGCGTGCGTTTAGATAAAGAAAAGCTGGAAACATCACATTTTGTAATTTGACTGTAGATATGTATCTTGCTCGTGGGCAATAAAACTTGTGCTTTTATATTGGTAACTACGGTAATTGGATTATCACAGTAACAAAGTTTGCATGTAGTTGTGAGGTGATAAAAGTTGTAATTTAGTAGAAAAAAAAAATCATGCCACGAGAAGTAACCATCAGCTGTATACATTATCTGTAGGAAGGTAAATAAATAAATAAACAACTAATGGTCCTCAGAGGACAGCAGGGGTTGTTTCTCGGGATAAAAAGGTGTGAAAAGGCTTGAAAGTGAGAAGGTGTTGGGGTGTGATTTCACAGGTCTTCGCCAATTGTCCACTCAGGGGGTTTGCAGCTCAAATTGCCGCTACCTTTGGGTAATTGCAGCAGTGAGAATGTGTCTGATTTGAAGGCAGCGCCAGCAGCAGTTTGCTGTTAGCTGAGATTTATTGGTGACAGGTTGAGAGGAACACCTGGTGCAGAAAGTTCGCAGAAGCAACAGATGGCGCAAAGGACGCAGGAAAGGAATGAGGGACGGATGAACGTGGTTGCAAAACCACACAGAGGTGACGAGCTGCCGAAGACCAATGTGGTAGGCGTAAAAAATGTGTGACCACTTGGTTTTACTGGCAGTTTCCCATGTTTAGTCTGCATGTGGCTTCTCTGTGGTTTCCCGATGAGGCCGATGTCTTTGAGCCCTGCAGTTTGCTTGAGGTGAAACAAGACTTGTAATTGCAGAGAGGGCGGAGAAGGACTTTATTATTATTGCTTTAATGACAGCTAATGATGTGATACGTGCGCAAAAAGTTTGGCAGTTGCTATAGAAACTGTACGTGTAAAGCTAATTTCCTGAAATAAAATTAGAGAATGAATTCACCATGTTTCCCCTCTGTCCTTTATGAGTGACTCATTCCATGGGTGGACTATTATTTAGCTTTTGAAGAACTTAACCTGAAAACAGCTTGTTAAATTTTGTTTAGTGAGTGAAAGATTTGTGTAGTCAGCTTAATAATGGCCCATTTCCCAACCTGCAGCGGGAGGGACTCACTCAGAAACACCTTCAGATATGAACTTGCCATTTGTACATAATGAACTATGGCTGAACTTCATCAAAGCCTTCAAAAACACGTGTTTTTCAGTGGATTTCAAAAGTCCAGTGTGTAACATTGAGGAGGATCTGTTTATATTAGTGTATTATATTATCACTTGATTATATTATCACTTGAAAATAAGAATAGTTGTGTTTTTCGTTACCTTACAATGAGCTGTTTTATCTATAGAGTGTGCAGCTCTTCTTCCACAGAGTTCTACGGTAGCCCAGAGTGGACAAACCAAACACTGGCTCTGGATAGGGCCTTTTCTTGTTTTTCGTAGTTTCTCCTGCACTCTTGGTTGAGGTAAGTTTCAGTTAGTTGTAATCTGCAACTTCACCGCTGGATGTCACTAAAACCTACATACTGGTCCTTTTAACTATTTGTTTTGGCTTGTTTTCTTTATGTAAAGTGTCCCTGGGTTTAGTTAAAAGGAGCTTCAAGTCAAATGTATTACTATAAATCATATTAAAGAAGAAGAATAGTTATTAAATTAAAGCTGCAAGCAACAATGAACCGGCCCTCGCACTCCA